ACATTTGCTCCCTTTTCTCCATCATTTCCAGTCTTCCTTTGGCTGTTAAAGGGATTGTTCACCCAAAAATGAAAATTCTGTCACCATTTACTCACCCTCATGTGCATTAAACGACAAACACAGAATTTGAACATTTCAAGCAATTCTTTTACTTAAATGCAGGGTAGGAGATTTGTTCCAGAAAGATTTTTTGTTATGCTAGTTGAAAGTCTCAGCACATTCTGATAGAAATCATTAAGTTAAGTAGTCGAAATGTATTTACAGTGCTGGTCAGAATTATTTGCCCCCTTGGTAAATATGACCAAAGATGGCTGTAAAAACCATCTTCATTGTTTATCCTTTTGATATTTTATTTTTTTTTTAAATTAAAAAGCAAAAATCCAACCTTTTATTGAAGTAAAAGATTTGAAAGTGTAAAGGGGTAAATCACATTATGAAATAAATGTTTTTCTCCAAAACACATTGGGAACAATTATTTGCCCCCTTTTATTAAATACTTTTTGCAACCTCCTTTTTCCAAGATAACAGCTCTGAGTCTTCTCCTATAATGCCTGATGAGTTTGGAGAACACCTGACAAGAGATCAGAGACCATTCCTCCATACAGAATCTCTCCAGATCCTTCAGATTCCCAGATCCATATTGGCGCTTCTCTTCAGTTCAGCCAAAGTCCTTTTAGGCAAGTCATGCCACTCGGCTGCCATCTTGGCAACGCCTCCGGGCAGCTATTTCGGACTAACAAGACCAGGCTCCTATCTAAATGAATGGGCAGAGAGTCAGAACTGCACTTTCACTGGTCACCGGGACATGAAAACTGCTTGTATAGAAACAGCAGTAAAATATGATAAAAATCGCTGAAAAGGTTTGATGACTTTGCCCCAAAATAAGGTTTAAAAGGTCTTTTTCCCGACACGTTTACTACGCATGCGCAAGGGTTCTCGTCTCCGCTGTCACAAACCTCAACTGTGCGCATGCGTCAGTGGAACCAGACGATAGGCTTACATGTTTCCCGGCTTGACTGTTAAAAGCAGACGATTGGCTTTCCAGCGGGAGGGGCGGGGCATGTGCATACAACCGCCATCTTTGCCGTTACGGGTTTTCCCTATATAGTTGTTGAGGATTGAGGAAGTGGCATGTCTCTATATAAATTGTCTCTGGTTCAGCCCACTCATTTTTTATAGGGTTCAGGTCAGGGACTGGGATGGCCATTGCAGATGCTTGGTTTTCTGCTCAGTGACACATTTTTGTTTTGATTTTGATGTATGTTTTTGGATAACTGTCCTGTTGGAAAATCCAAACATGGCCCGTTATAAGATTTCTAGCACAGGCTGTCAGGTTTTGATTTTTTATCCGTTGGTATTTGATCGAATCCATGATGCCATGTATCTGAACAAGAAGTCCAGGACCTCTGGCTGAAAATTAGGCCCACAGCATTAAAGATACAGCAGAGTATTTCCTTTTACACATGGGGTACTTTTTTATCCCGGTGTGCAACAAACCCATCTTAAGTTTGCTGCCAAAAAAGCACTTTTTTTTTGTTTCATCTGACCATAGAACCCGTCCCGTTTGAAGTTCCAGTAGTAATGGCCATCCCAATTCCTGACCTGAACCCTATAGAAAATGAGTAGAGTGAACTGAAGAGAAGAAGCGCCAACATGGATCTGGGAATCTGAAGGATCTGGAGAGATTCTGTACGCAGGAATGGTCTCTGATCTCTTGTCAGGTGTTTTCCAAACTCATCAGGCATTATAGGAGAAGACTCAGAGCTGTTATCTTGGAAAAATTATTTAATAAAAGGGGGCAAATAATTGTTCCCAATGTGTTTTGGAGAAAAACATTTATTTCATAATGTGATTTTCCTCCCTTTTTCAATTCTTTTACTTCAATGAAACTTCAATTTATATTTTTAATAAAATATAAAAATGATTAACAATGCAAATTAATTTTTTACAGCCATCTTTGATCATATTTACCAAGGGGGCAAATAATTCTGAACAGCACGGTCTATCATCTGTGAAAGGCTTAGGACCATAAAATGTTTGTACAATCATTGCATTTGATCCGAATGCAATACGATGTCCTACCTGCCCGTGTAGGTATTTTCACGCGTTTTAGAAGAGGATGTATTTTTGGAGACGCTCTGAAGGGAGGGTATGATCTTATGCTTTCAAAGTTAGCTTGCTATTGCTAACCTCTCTGAAAATGGCCTACCCTACCTTTAATACCGGAGAAGTCAAATCAATCTTTACTCAGTCCGAGAAGAATTAATCTTTTCTTATAAAAACTCTTTGCTCTTTCTGTTTAGAATGACTTTCACTCATGAGGTCAGTTCATCAGCACAGGAACAAGTCAATAATCAGTCAATAACTTTCTCTTTTTAAATACAACCCTCCACTGTCACTCACAAACGCTTCAAAGCATCAAATGTAAACACACTGGAGACGAAGAACACATGCGAGGACAACAGGGGGTTTCCATTTCCATTTATATAATTGGCAGAAATTATCCAAAATGACTTGCTGCAAGTCTGACATATACGGCATGTCTTTACTTGCATTTGATCAAAAACGTAGCAAAAGCCGTCTGTAGCTCTTTTGATTTTGACTTAACTGTCAGTGTGACTTGTGTTTTCAACTTGTATAAATGTCACACTAAAATCAGACTGACAAACTTGCATTTACGTGTGATTTAGGAGCAAAACACTGTAAATAGCAAAAGGGTCAGTAGTTTGTTTTATTAAAGAAAAAGTAAAAAAAAAAAAAAAAGTGTGTTAATTATCAATATTATGTTAGCAATTGATGAAAATGTTTTTACTGGATTAGCAAGAGGATAAAAATGGTATTTTTTCCTTTTTTCCAAAACTAAAATAAATATTGACAGGTGCATGCTGTCATATGTCAGGTTTGACTCCCAAATGAGCAAGTAATAAGCAATAAGGACATTCATTTACTTATTTTTGAATCAATAAGTAAATGAATTAACGTTAACTTGGTAAGGTTAATTTACTTCTGAGCAAATGTGGCTCAGAAGTAAATTAACCTTACCAAGTTAACGTTAATTCATTTACTTATTGATTCAGGTCAAAGCAGAGTTCACAGTGCTGGTGAGTCTTTTGAAGAACAGTTCTGGGCACTTAACACTAATGATATCAACTGTAATCGCTTTCAAATGTAGCTTTTTTTTGCTATCAAAATGCTTTAAGCATTTGCCTCAATTCTGCTTTTAATCACATTACCTTGTAATTTAACAATTTCTTTAAAAGAAAAATGGCAGATACAAATGCTGTGCAAAGACCTTATTCATTCCAGCCTATTTAAGATTAAAATCCAATCCATTTTTTATACCCCTTATATTACTGAAAAATACATTTACGTGAAAAATCACATTGTCTTTGAGACATTATATAAAGCTTGTCGGAGTTAGCAACAAGTAACCAAGATAAGAGGGGAGAAGCTTATCAAAGGAATAATTGGCATGGGTTGTGTGCATCTTCAGATCGACCCATAATTTTTTGTAACCTGGTGGCAAAAATCTCTTCCAAAAAAAGAACCACCACTCTTTCTCATATATCCTCCCGATAAAATATTAAAATCACAATTGAGAGGTTCAAACTTTGCCAAATGCCAGTGCAGGAACTCCATATGCTTGCTCAGACTGGCATACAGAGATGAGAGTCAGCCAGATGAACATATGAAGAAAAAAAAAAAGACCTGTGTAATGACCAGATATCAATGTCAAGACCCATCTGGATATCATCTGAAAAACACTAAGAGGTTACAGCACAAATAGGTTAGCGGTCGAAACCAGTTATCAATAAAAATAATAGATTGCTATAGAGATTTTTAGGAGATTTGTTACTTTAAGGCAGATGCTATTGTGTTGATCTAACAGCTTGTCTGCTGCAACAATAACAAACCATTTTTTGGTCTTGGCATATGTTTATGCAGTGAAATGGATGAATGGAAGAGTTTGATTATGTTTCACAATCCAATGGCACAGCAGCACCACCTGCCGTCTAATTCAGTGTACTGTATTCTCATCTACTGCAATAAACCTACATTTAGGTTTTTGTTTTCTAAAACACTTCATCCTCACTGGCTGGCATTTGGGAAAACAAACAAACATTATGACGACAAGTAAACGATTTTACCTAAAACGTACTGTTGAAGAAAATATGACAAAAGAAATCACACTTGGTTGATGGACCCCTATGGAAGTCAATGGGGTCCATCAACTGTTTGGTTACTCGTATTCTTCAATAGATCTTCTTTCGTGTTCAGCAGAAGAAAGAAATTCATAAAGGTTTGAAACAAATTGAGGTTGACAGAATTGAATGATGACAGAATTTTCATTTTTGGGTGAACTATCACTTTAACAATACACTATCAATGTTTTTGTTTTGCTTTTTAAGTAAAAATCTAGAAAGAATATGATTGTTTGAAACAATACAATCACTGTCAATATCTGGGAATCACCTGCTTGACACGTGCAAGATGAAGCAGAACAGTGAAACACCCGTAAACTGAGGCACTTTGTGAGCAGGTTAATTAACACATCCAATATGACTAATGATCAGATATATACACACAACATAAACATAATATTGCAGCTTAAATCTATGTGTTGTTCACAACAAGTACAGTATCCATGTTATTTGTTACATATTCAAATATTAATAATTGGTTAAGAAGAAGTAATAATATTAATAGTATTAAGATAAAATAATATTTTATAAAATGATAATATTAATTTTGCTCTTTTCAACTAAATTAGACAGTAAATGAGTAAATTGACTAAAATAATGTCAAAAGACAAAAACAGTTAAAAAGAAAAAGAAAAAAAGAATTATAAATTTTTTTTTTTAACTGCAAGTTAGATTCTTCATTTAGATTTTAAGTGGGTGTTTTGGGTTAAATGACTGAACTTAAAAAGTAACATCTGCATCTGCATACAGTTTGGAAAAAAGCCAATGCCGGCATCTGTCAGATGTGTTGCCTTGTACCTGTCGAGCGAGGTTCACGGAGTCAGCAGTCAGTCTGTCTCTGAGGTGTTGGTCCAGCTGTGAGGCGGGTGCGATCTCCACCACCTTTTGGTGTCTCCTCTGGATGGAGCAGTCCCTCTCGTACAGGTGAATGACATTGCCGTATTTATCGCCTATACACAATGGACCGATCAACTCATTGAGCAAGTCTTAAACCCATCTGGCAGTGTAAACAAACTCATCTGCTAGTATTTTTCCAAAATATAACAAACAAAATCATATAAAAGATCAATAGACGCTATGCAAATTAGCAGGCAACAGAGCACTGCACCATTCTGTTCACTGTTGAGAACAGTATGCTACATGCAAATATCCAAATATGTTTTAATTAAATGCCAGACAATCCATTTAAATAAATCTAATTTGTTGTTGGGGGTTTTGAGCACTTCTTCAATGACGATGTCTGGGAACAGATTTAAAGTAAAACTCCTGTCATCATTTACTCACCCTCATGCAGATTTATCTAATAACCCATTTGATAAATGGTAAACAGTTTATTCAAATATACCTTGTGCACACATGTGCAGTGCCATGATGCAAATGTTTTTACATGTCTTCCAAACGGGTGCATGTTTATTTATGTCTTTTGAACTGGTTAGTAGAGGAGACTAAGGCCTGGATTCACAGACAGGGCTTAGATGTTGTCAGGATTGGGCCTTAGTTAAATTAGGACATGCAAGTAGGTTTTATAAATGTGCCTTACAAAAAAACATTACTGCATCTTGAGACAAAACACTTGCACTGGCATACGGTCTCTTAAAATATGTCAGTGTAAGTTGCTTAAAGTTAAGAGACAATTTTAGTCTGTGACTAGGCAAGAAACCTTGTCTGTGAAACCAGGCATAAATGTTTGCTGAAGATTTGTTTTTGAAGATTAAGACCTTTTTCACATTAAATGCTTGGAAAAAAGCAACATTTATACTTTTGTGTTCTACAGTAGACAAAGTCATACAGGTTTGGAACGACATGAAAGTGAGTAAATGACGACAGAATGTTCATTATTGGTTGAACTATTTTATTTTGATTTTTTTTATATTAGGATACTTGATTTGCAGAGACTGTCCCAACACAAACAAACCAATAACAAACAAACTCACTTACCAAGGATCTGCACCTCGATGTGTCTGGGTTTCTCAATGAACTTCTCCACAAACAGAGCTCCATTGCCAAAGGCGGTCAGGGCCTCAGAGTACGCTCGCTGATAGTTCTCCTCTAGTTCCTGGTCACACACACAGCCACAGGGTCACCCGGTGCAAATACCCAGCACAACAATTCATACAGCACCACTAACTGAACAGCAAACAAATCTAAAGTGCACACAAGGGCCTCCCTTTAATGCTCATTTAAAAGCCCTCCAGTGTCAAAGCTTGCAACTGGCTCTTTGACGGAACGGAGCAAAGATTAAATGTGTTCCAATCCACTACAAATAATTTTACTCTCAGACACGATACCTCATACTCTTTGACCACCCGCATTCCACGGCCTCCACCCCCATACGCAGCCTTGAAGATAATCGGGAAGCCGTAGCTGTTGGAGAACTCTTGAGCTTCCTGCAAAGATGAGATGGGACCGTCTGTTCCAGGTACCACCGGCACACCTGTAAGATGACCAGAAAAATATTTTTTTGGACATGTACTGTAGCAATGCCATGCCAGTCTTTTATGTAAATATTGATATAATACTAGTTTAGTAGACAAATTTAGGTTTAGTAATTTAAGATTTTAATTTTAAAAAGCATTTAAAATAATTTTAAGATTAAAGTAACAACAGGTAACTTTTCAGCCTTCATAATATATTTCCAAGTCTCTTGTGATGGTACATCGACTTACAATAGGTTGAATGACACGTCTGCCATAGCCTGACGGGGTCTGTAGCGTTTTTAATCGTACTTTTAAACTTCGGATTTCGGGTAGTAACCGGCGAACAAAGAGAACTACAAAATTCGACTGCTTTACGGCATATACGTCACTTCCACCACCACCCCCACTTCCTTAAAATCGGACTTGCGAGCCAAATGTTATAGTCATGGCCGAAGCAGCACAGAAAAACAAGAAAGCAAAGGTTTTATCGGAGCAAAGCAAAAAGAGAAAAAGAGAAAGTGATCGCGTTAAAGGCAGAACGAGGATCAACATTGCAGAGCTGCCAACTCTCACGCATTGGCCGTGAGACACCCGCATTTAATTGGTTTCACACGCTCACACGCCACACCCCCGGTTTCTCACGCTAAATTGTCAACCCGGTCGGTCAAATGCCTGAAAGATGAGTTTATCTATAGATCTCTACCTGTTGAGCCACTCGTGATCGACAAGTTATACCGCAAATTAGTTCAAATCTCCCGGAATCTAGAGCGAGCGCGCACGCGAGACAGAGACTGTGCTCCAACGCGCGCGGACGGCAGAGCGAGAAAGCGAGCGAGAGACCTTGCGTGTGCAGGGAGCATCGAACCCTCCATCGAAAATAGTCCGGTGGCGTAGTGAAAATACCGTTACCGAGATGATAAAAGCACCAAATTTTGCATGGTGTTTCCTTAGGGTCTATAGTGTAATTTTGGCCTAGGAGCCCTCGGAATTTTTTTTTGTAACATGTCATATTAGAAGTATATCATTATCAATGAAATATGCTTAAAAACACAGCGATTTTCAAGTTCCTGCACAAGATAAAGTATTCAAATGAATCCCAAAGTTAACATTTTATATGTTTATTTATGTTTATGAACTTTTACATAACAAAAGCTTCAATACATGTTAAAGTATTATCAATATGGTCTTTATTGGCCTTGTAATTGAAAATTATGAATCGTTACAGTTGCATTTGCAAAGAGGTGAGCAGTCTAGACTTGCTTTGCCACATTTGCAGGTGGAACAATCCCCCTTACAGCAACATTTGATAAGTTCTCTGCAGGCTGTGGGGACTTCTGAAGTGTCATCCAAATTGGTTCCCAAGACCCTGATTCCTTGGTCCATCCATAGTCCCTTGGAGAAGGAATACCTTGCTGTGAGAGTGTGCTGGTCGCCCAGATTCCAGTCTGATAAACTGCCCGTCTGATGTGCTGCAGTAGAGTATCTTGGGTGGGTGGCAGTTTCTCCATTGTCCTACTCCCATGGCAGAAGAGTTCTTTCCTCTTCTGGACAATGGAGCTTGAAGAACTGGACTTGTCATACAAGATGACAGTCAGTCTCTCAAGCTTTTGGAACTGCCATGAAGCAGCATCTAATTTCTGGAATGGATTTCTGGCAAGGGAAGCAAATACTTCAGTGGCTTCATCATAGGCTTGCCAGGCCCGCCAAACTGACTTCTTACCCTTCCCAGTGAAAGCAGATGTTGTATCACACCCTGAATAGGCATGGAACATCAACAGTGCTTGAGACTTGTCCTTACCCAGACTTTTACATATGCTATTGACATGGTCAAATCTGTACTTTTTGCCCATGCCAAAAGCCACCCAGATGTCAGTCAAAGGTTGAATCACCAGTAAATCATGGAATAAACCTGCAAGAATCACAATGACATCAGTGTCCACAGTACGCACATGGACAGTTTTTGCTCCTTGCTCCAGGGCATGCTGTATATGAACCACAATCCGGGTGTCTGCCTCTTCATGATTGCAACTGCTCATGGTACTGCTGGAACCAAATGAAGATACAGCTTGCCCTGATGTGATATACAGAGATTTGTCTGGGGGCCAGTTGAACTCTTCAGTCTTAGATGTCAGAAAGGCAAAAAGCTCTTTCTTATTCATTGGATCACGTAGGAAATCCATCCAATTGCCTGGCAGCTTTGTTTGGCCAGACACTTTCCTGCGTACACCTTGACCCCTCTTTTGACGCGTGGACTCCTTCAAACTGTCCGAGATGTATGCATCCCATACAATATCCAACCTTTGTGTATCCTGTAGCTGCCTCTGCAGGTAAGGGATGAAAACATTACTTGCATATTCATTAAATGTGTTCACTGTATTAGTAGACAGACTGTGGACAATGACCGCTCCATCCAAGATTTTGCAGTCAAAGCATGAGGGTGGCTGTGATTGCCCAGGGAGCTCAAGGCATTGAAGTAAGTCAGACTTTGTGCCTGGCAGGTGAATCTTTCCAAAGTCAGAGAGGGAAGGAGGGAAGGACTGTACTTCATGTGCAAAGAATTCATCCAAATCACTCTCACGACTTTGCATTGCAATATACAGCTGACCAAATAGTGTCACGTTGTTCTGGAGCATTTTAATCTTCTTCCCATGTGTAGATAATGTCTTGCGTCGAGTTTGCTTGAAGAGTTGCAACGAATTCCTTTTGATTGGATCATGGATGGATTGGCTGCGATCAGTTAGCACCTTTGTGACAATCTGTTGATATTGTTTCTTGCCTGTGTCTTCTAAGATGAACACTGTTTTAGCCACAGATTCATCTGCACAGTTACGGCTGTCAAGAGTGACTAGATCTTTAAAATCATCCAAGAAAGGGTTGCCCATTCTTTTAATAGTTTCAGACAGGTTGGCTACATGTCTTTGAAATGTCTTCTGTGTGGAAAGACACTGTTCATGATGCTGGAAGTTCTTAGGATTATCTATGTCATTTTCAGGAAGAAAGTTCTCTTCAAATTCTTTCAGCAATCTTCCCAACTCTGGTCCAGAGATCATCCATCGTCTGAAAGCATTTGCGTTTTCTGTGAGACCAACTGCACCACCGCAACCTTTCACAATCTTATTCTCTTGTTCATGAGCTTGGTCGAAAGGTATTGCAGAGAACTTGTTGTATGTCTTTGAGAGAACCCAGTGTGAATGCTTTTCAAACTCATCCTTGATGGTACTGGGCAAAGACTTCATGTCCCTGATGTGGACAGACACCCATCTTCCATAGTTTGTATGGTCCGAGGCAAAAAATAGAGGGATGAGTTCTTCTAAAACTTCTACATATAGAAGGAAGTTCTTCTCTCTGTGAGCTCTAACAAAAATGAGAATGAGGGTTTCATATCTTAGTATTAGATCCCAATACATGAAAGTTGCACTCTTCTTCAGCATGTCATTTCTCCAAGTGATAAAGGTATCTTCATCTTTGGGGCCAGCAATAAGCCTAAAAGCTTCCTGCTGCAGATTGTGAAGTGACAGTAGAGTGACTTGGTGGGCATGCCTGGTGCGAGTTAGGTGTGCTGCTTTCAGAAATGAGTCAGCCTTTCCAGAAGATGCTACTTCTGCTTCAGTGAGTGCTGTTGTCCAACCAGAGCAATCTAAGAGGTCGCCAAGTGTATTCCAGAGGGCCATTTCTGTGTGTAATCCACCTAGCATAACTACATGAACTCCATTTCCATTGCACTAACTTTGCCAGAGTGAAAAGAGGCTGGTCAAATGTAGTAACTGGGATTTGTCCAGGATTAAGAAATTCAATAGCTTGTCTAAGAACATTCATGCCATGTTTAATCATGGCTGGAGTGGCAGATTTATCATAAAACAGAGGAAGGAGTGCACATTTTGCTGGGGGGTCTTCCACCAATGGTTGCATAGAAGCATGATATGCAGACCATGCAACTGCATCATCACTGTCTAGTTCTCTTTTCTCTAGAAGTGGCAGTGCATGATTGACCCACCTGTTTTCCTCTTCTCTAGCATTATCCAATAAACCCATAGCTGTAACTACATTACACTCTGGCACTGAAACAGAAGTATTTTTCAGAGCTACAGCGGGGACAGTGGCAAAAGTCAGGAAGAGCTTTATTTTTATTTTCAAAAGGTGGTATCGTAATGGGTGGTCTCTGTCCACCACAGTCATCCTTAGTTGGAAACTGAAACATGCTGATTCCAGTACCATGAAAGGAGCCTACAGAAGTGGTTGAACTTGGGTCATAGTCAAGGTTATCAAGGGCACCAACTGTGAAGAGCCCTTTCCGGAGACAAGCTGGAACCACAACACCATCAACTTCAAAGCGTTCACATGTGGCTTTAGCAAGCCAGTCTTCAATTTGAATAACTCTGTCATATGAAATGCTAATACCCATTTGGTTTAATTGCTGGACCAGTTGCTTGCTTCTGGTTTGTACATGTACATTAAGGCCTATGTAAATAGGGAGTGGTGGTTCACGTTCAAGGCTGTGTCTGGTCATCCTAGCAGTGGGTGTTGCCCTTTTCTTTGTGTTATAAAGAATGCCTTGTCCCATTGTGAGGCAAGCCTGAGACTCACATTTCTCTTGATCTTTCAAGTTGGAGCCATTCATTATCATCGAGATAAGAGACTTTAAGCTTGAAGGAAGTGAGGTTTCTTGACATCTTTCTGGGAAGGAGCCAGTGAATTTGAAGCCTGTATGGTTGAATATGTCATTTCTAATAATCTTCGCAGCTTTTGCCAGGATGAGAGCATCTTCATCAAAATCTCTCTTCCTCAGAGCTTCCCTTAGCATATTTCTCATGCCCTCCTTGAAAACAAGAACTGTATTCCTTCCATCAAATTGTTCTTGTGCATCTGGAAAGCATTGAAGCAAATGATTTTTCAATCTGGTTTTGTTGACTTGCTTACTGACACCCAGTTCCTGAAGTCGATTCACATACAAAGAGTGGAGCTCAGATAGCATAAAGAGAAGGACTCCAGAATCAACACATTTTTCAATGTAGTCCTGAAGTTCAACGAAAGCGCGAGACTCATTCATATTTTCATCTATGTTTTCTGGACATTGGTAGCTCTTACTAGCGAGTCCACGGTAGCAATTTCTCAGCTTTACAAGGCATGGTAAATGGTATTTTGCCTCAATTGCAATTAAATCTCCCCCAATTATCCTTGTCATAAGCCTTGTGTCCTTAAGTTCAGTGATCATGGTTCGGATATTCTTGTCAGTATCAAATGTTGATACTTCATGGAGAGCACCTTGATCTATGCCACCCTCACAGAAGAAGCACTTTCGAACATCCAGTCGTTGGCGTTTCATTGGCTTTCCCCGTCCAGATTCAACAGCATTCCGCATGTTCTTCTTTGTCGCTTTCATAAGCTTTGAATTGTTAAACTTTAGGTGGCAAGATTTGTGCCAAGAAGCAGAATGTGAAGCAAAATTGGTAGCAGTTTCATCACTCCCAAAATAGAGTTTAGTTGGAAGATTGTCAATCGCTCTGAATTGCTCGACATTAGCAAGAAATGATCTATAGGCATGAGATCTGTTGGATTTTACAACACGTGAATTCATCCACTTCACCCGAAATACATAAAAGTAAGTGGCTGGTGAACTGGGAGACGAATAGAGTAAACTTTAAAGTCACTTACACAATGTGTATCTGATATGAATAAAACATTTCTAATTATGGAAAGGATTATTATTGCCTCTTCCTTTGACATCAGTGTGTATTTTACAAACTCTAAATGTATTGTTTTTTTTTAGTACTTAAATGTCTGAAACCTAAAATAAACATTATATGGTTGACAGCTCTGAGCGCGCCTGTCTCTGGCTCAGCGCCAGCCAACGCGCGAAAGCACATTTGAATTTAGCAGTGCATGCACTGACCGTTCTAATCACACCGGTGCAGTACGTGCGAAAGGGTTAATGTGATGTGATGCAGCCTAACATAAAACTAATGACCAAACTATAAACTTAGTAGAATAGCTATGAATGACCTAGTTGAATTGAAAAATAAAAGAGAAAACCAAGATCTCTTAACATTTAAGCATTTTTGCTGCCTTTTTTAATAATTCTGCCTATACTATACAGGGCTTTTTGATTTTTTTTAGGTATAAGGTGTCTTGTCACTCTGTTTTACACTTATAATTTGGAAGATCTACTGGCCTGAGCACAAATTAACAAAAGGAAGCTTATTCAGTGGTCTTAAAAGGCCATTATCCTGAAAGATTTACTTGAGATGAAAAAAAAAAAAAAAAAAAAAAAACGTTTTTCATGAATATTGTTTTTTTAAGTGATTTGACACTAAATTTCAACATTTCAGCTGGGCTCCTAGGCTGAAATCATTCAGGAGGTCCTAAAGAATCTTCATGTAAAATTTGGTGCTTTTATCACCTCAGTAACGGTATTATTTAATATGTGCACTACCCAACTGGACTAAAAAAGAATGACTCTCTCTAACCTCTCTAATTCGCTAGAGTAGTGGCGAATTATCAATCTGGTAGCTAGTAAACGATATTCTAGTTTTTGATGGTTAGCTATCGCTAGTATTCTCGTTCTGATTTGAACTTTGCAATCGATGAAATGCAAATAGCAAATGTTTGACCTAAAAAGTGTAGCCTACTCAACATGTACAAAGAAAGGAGGGAGATTATTAATAAAATCATATTTTAGGATACCTAACATGTCTGTGATATTTGTTTATTTGTCTTGCCTCAAGCTATAATGCAAATCGATTTGTAAAATTTGCAGATTCATTTATGGTAGCTTGATATTATAATATTGACGATATATGGTTATTATCAACCACTCAAACATTGCATTGAAGTATCATATAGATTCAGTAAAACGGTAACCAATAGACTAGGCTACTATAATGACGCTGGCTTGTAAACGCGATCATTTGTCGTTATAAAAAAAAATAAAACACATGAAATTATATTCATATGACATGCTGAAATATATGCCACTGTACCTGGGATGAAGACATTTCACACACGCGGGAACACCTGCATGTGACTCCTACAGTGTTCAGGGCTATCATGGTTGTCAACAAATGCACGTGCATGTAGGATGACAGTTTACGACAGTAGTAGAGGACAATACTGTTTCCCAACTGTAGGGGGAGCCCGAGAGCAAAAAACAACCTGTTGTTACTTTAAAATAATAATCAGAGAACTGAAATGAGCAAAGAGCCCCACTCTTTTGGAAATGCTGTAAATAGAGTCAAAACATACAGCTCACAGGCCAAGTAACTGAAATCTACCCTGTAAAAAAGCCTGTCATTTTTAGAGAAAAAAAAATCTGTAAAAGTACAGTAAAAATGTAAACATATTTACAGAACAATTTTACAGAAACCATTAACATTTTAAACCAGTAAATGCAACTATTGCTAAATTAATAGTTTCATATTTCTATTTACATTTTTATTTTGATCATCATTTGCAATGATTCATGGGATTGCAGTTCTTTTCCTCATTAAAGCTGTTAAGGTGCAGTAAGCGATTTCTGAGAATCATTGTTGAACACTGTTGATATTTGAAATCAACCCAAACAAACACACCCCTCGGTTTGATTCACTTTCTACAGTGTTTTTCAAAAATCGCTTACTGCACCTTTAAGTACAGTCTTTTACCTTTGTCTTTTTGTCCAATTTTCAAATAGTTTTTGGTTCCAATCAAAGTTTGTAATGTTGTGATTCACCTCGTAGCTTCATGGCTTATAAGCTCTTTAACAAAGACCTTTTAAAAATCCCTAGGGGAAAATACTTTAGGAACCAAGGCACTGAAAAGGTGGACGGGCACTTTTGCACTCTATTCAACAACACGACTGATGATACATTGTGATGAGAGAGAGCAGGGGTATATGATAAACGCTTTACCTGCACCGATGGCAATGGTACGAGCCTCAACTTTGTCCCCCATCTTTCGCACCACGTCTGGGGTGGGGCCGATAAAACGTACCCCAGCATCCATACAAGCCTGGGCAAAATCTGCTCGTTCTGAGAGGAAGCCATAGCCTGGGTGGATAGCATCTACGCCATTCTCCTGCCAGACACATATTGTGAAGTATTCGGTCACAATTAATCCCCAAAAAACCATATTCAAATAACTGCGGTATTATCACATTTATTATTCAGAATGACAAATGATAACACTTGTAAAAAGAGGAGATTCATATACACTACCATTCAAAAGTTTGGGGTCAATACATGTAAAACAAAAACTTCAAAATAAATTACTACTTTTATTCAGCAAGGATGCATTAAATTGATAAAAAGTAACAGTAAAGACATTTATATTGTTAGAAATCTTTTGCATTTTAAATAAATGTTATTTTGGTCAAATCATTGTCAAATCATTGTAAAAAAAGGATCAGGGTTTCCACAAAAATATTAAGCAGCACAACTGTTTTCAACATTTATAATTATAAGAAATATATTCTCTAAGCAAAAAAATCATCATATTAGAAAGATATCTGAAGGATCAAGGGACACTGAAGACTAGCTGCTAAAAATTCTGCTTCGCCATCAAAGGGACGAATACCATTTTAAAATATGTTAAAATAGAAAACTGTTGTTTAAAGAGACTTCTTTCTCCCCAATGCATTTACACATTTAGTGGAAGCTTTTATCCACTGTCTGCGACAGAGTGCTCACGGTATAAATTTATCAGTACGCATACCCTGAAAACTCAAACCCATGACCTTAGTGTTGCCAGTAACCCTGTACTTCATTACTTTGAGCCATAATGTTGTAGATACAGCTCTTTCTGTTATCAGCTAAATAGCAGTAGTGGCTTCCTTCCAAGAATACAGCCCAACTTCAACTGACTGAAAACCTTTTGTTTATTGACCTGTATTTAAGGTTAACAGATGTAGCTGTCTCTTAAACAAGTCATGACAAGATGTTAGGAATGTTTCATGCACCTAATGCAACTTGGGACATTTTTTAAAACACACATTAGGTAAAGTTTTGAATTGATAAGCAGTATATTTGTTTATTTATTGATTAAGCCAATAACTGACTAGCTTGTCTATTGATAGTTGCCGGAGGTATAATTAATCAGAAAATGAGATGTGGGAAAGCAGCTGCCTGTTGAGGGTTTTTACAGCTACACTACCCTGTCTTCTTGGCAGCAGACTCTGAACTCTTTTGTCAGAAGGCATAATTACGTGCAATTACTGCTCTTAGCAGGTCTGTTTGTGCTCTATCTGTCCAATCACAGCAGGCTGTATGTGTACTTTACAGGTCACGCGATCCTAATCTACCATTTCAACACACAAACACAACAAAAATCGTAGGTGTTAAAAACTTGTGAATACATTGCTGCTTTGAACCAAACAGTCTGGTTTTTGAGACAGAGTCAGTTGATGGAAATGTCACTTACCCTATTGTGTCAGCGCTATATCTTACATTTTTTATGCCTTGCAAACTCAAATATTTGGTTTTCTGTGACATTTGGTTGTCTATTCAGCCAATTAAAATCACCTTGCTTGCAGACATAGATGGGGTTTAGTTGAAAACAGTAATAATGGCTTTGGAGCGTTTTGGTGGCATCAATAAGAATGGGTTGAAAATAAACCAATTAGTAACAATTTATATAATTTTTAATGTATTGCTGTCTTTGAGTTTCCTGAATAATTATAGTGTTTGTTTAATTTCTAGCTATTACTGAATCTTTTCTTTGTAACGATAACTTATTAGTTGAAAAAATACCTGTATTTGTGTGTGACAAATGCATAAGAACAATAAATAATATATTTTAAATATTTTAAAAGTTCACTACCATTCAAAGGTTTGGGGACAGTACTTTTTTTTAAAGTAATTAATACTTTTATTTTGCAAAAAAATCATTAAACTGATTGACAGTGACAGGAAATAAAATTCTAATGTTACAAAATATTCCTTTTTAAAATAATTGCTGTTCTTTTGAACTTTCTATTCATAATAGAATCCTAAAAATTGTTTTTATAAATTTCCACAAAAATATTAAGCATCACAACTGTTATTTTCAATTGTAATAATAATAAATCCAGATTTTACTGTATTTTTTTATCAAATAAATGCAGCCTTGATGACTACATTTCAAAACATAAAAAACTAATTTTAAAAATACAGAAGCGTCAAATTATAATTATAAAAAAATAGTGTTTGAAGCCAGTGAAAACCATGCAGGTAGAAAACTGAACTACTGTACAGAGGATTTACAGAGCATCTTTACTGAACCCACACGAGTGTGAGAAAAGTCTGACCTTGGCCACTTTGATGATGTCTGGTATATGCAGGTAGGCCGCTACAGGTGGCAGCCCCTTGCCGATGAGGTAAGCTTCATCTGCCTTTTGTCTGTGCATCTGACCTGTGTCCTGCTCAGAGTAGACGGCCACTGTACGGATCCCCAGCTCTGTGCATGCCCGAAACACCCGGATGGCAATCTCTCCTGCAAAGACCGTTTCATGAATTACAATGCATGAGTGTACAATTCATTCATACCATGTATTTTACTGAGAATGGTTATGTTCAGAATAGGATACAACCTTTGTTATTTCTGCAGTAAACAATATCTTAAGCAGTATTTTATGGATGCATTGACTTTAAAATTCAATCTGAACTTTATTAAAGGGATACTTCAGGATTTAGCATTAAGCTTTGTATTAGTAGAAAACCTGTAGTATTTTAGAATTACCATGCTTTCCACCCTCATATCCCCCTGAGACGAGAGATTTAAGTATTTTTTGTCTGGAAAAAAATCCTCTGATGACGCAAAAATCGTCATTTTGCGTCATCGGAGGATTTTTTGGCCAGAGGCTAAAGACTACAGCCAGTAGTAAGGGCTGTTCCGCATGTTTTCAACCCGCCCATAGAGGGTGGGATCTCACTCACAGAATGTACACAGTGTCAGCCATCTTTTTTTGGAAGCTAAGCTAGCAGGCTCTTGTTTTGTGGAGAAAGCTGAGTAGTAGGGGTTACCATCCTCTTTTTCCCGGACATTTCCCTCTTTTTCAGCTTTTGCTCTCTGCAGTCGCCATTCATTGTTTACATGCGCACCTTTTGTTTCAATCTAACTGAATTCATTCCGATTGGTGAATCTGAATGTAGTGTTTACATGAACGCTAAACAAGTGATCGGTCGATGTGCGTTTTAACATTGCTAAGAAAATTCCCGCTCCTCCGTGAGAGATACGAGACCGGTGCGTCTCACAGATGTCGCTCATCAGTAACTTAATCACGCCACCGGCCTCGCCCCGTTCTCCCACGGCCCATTTAGCCTCGTCCTGCTCGCCACAGTAAACATAATGAATGGCGACTGTAGAACGCAAAAGCCGAATTCCGGACATTTTGGGCGATCTCAAAACATTTTCGGGCAGACTCATCACGGAGACTCACTAGTAGCCTAGACTTGTTGTTTAATTACTGCACTCTGTTACCGGTAGGTGTGGCCTCCTAGGGCAGCGAAGCATGTGCATTCTGGGAGTCTTTCATCCACATAAGCCAAAATACATTTTCTGGCTTTTCTCAGTCTAGAAAGCTCCAAATTCAAAAATAATTTCACATTTCTTCAACATAAATGACCCATTTTAAATACACATTCATCTTTCCAGAGGTGAAGTATCCCTTTAAGTGTTATATTCCTGTAATTTGACAAATATATACAATAATACAAATAAAATACAACAAATTGAAACTAAAATCAGTTTTTTTTAAATGTTTCAATAACTGTATCACATGATGTTTAACAGTAAGCAGCTAGTATACTAGTACTACATTCAGAGCACAGCAGCTGAGTGCTGACACACCTCTGTTGGCCACCATGACCTTTTTGATGGGTTTGTACTCCAGTGTCCGGGGTGCAGTATGGGCGGAGCGGGTCATAATCCACACCCTCCTGATGGCTAACAGCCCCAGGGCAGAGCGCTGTCCACCCAGTCCCACCTGTAGCAGCATCTAGAGAGCGAGAGCCAAAGATAGGCATTACAAAAAGCAGTTCCTTCATGCTGCTGTAGTGATATCTATTGAGTGTTATCTGCATGTGAAGAACCAAAGTGATTAATAGTAGCCTTGCAGTGTTTCACACAGGAGCTCTGGAGATAACAAGAGTCAACACTCGAACTAAAGGGAAAGTGAGGTCAAGGAAAATAATACATGGGACAACAGGAGAATAAGCCTTGTATAGTACAAATCAGTGCTGCAAAATATAATGACAAACAAATCCACAAGCACTTGGACAAAGAAAGAAGACTGGCATATGCTACGTGAGAAGATACTCAAGGATGTCTTTTTAAAAAAATGCTGTGTTTCAAGCGTATCCACACATACTGAAAAACATGAACAAGGTCAAGTGCCCACAGGGCCAAACAGAACAAAACACAATGTTATATTGCGGTCATATTGCCTGTGGACAAAGCTTCTAAGGCCGAGACTGAACACCTGAAACAACAGCAGAACTGATTAAACTCTGTGGGAATCACTGAAGGATCAGAGAGACTCTGAAGCCTCAGGAGACAAAAGGCTATAAAGACTAAGAAACAGACAATTAAAGCAGTGTTGCGCAACACAAACTCACTCAATTGCTCATCAAAACACACCCAAAACTAGAGGTCACTAAAAGGGTCACTTAAACCAGACTAAAAAAAACAACCCGAGTATGAATCCTTCACAAAAATATCAATACGATGCATTTAGAAAAAAGATAGGGTGAATTTTCATTTCATGCAGACGTTAACAGTGTTAACTAAATTATTAGAGTTTATAATTAGAGTTTTAAAATTGACTTTAATTGAGCATTAGCTTATGACAAACTAATAAAATGTTAAAATAGGAGAACAGAGCATGCACAATTAAATATCCTACATCGGCAGATATGTTATTGCAACAATAACATGCCTTCCTTAAATACAACATTTGGCACATTGTTAGTACTTAATTTTGTGTTAGACATAATTTTTAGATTTTTCTATTCATCCCATGTCATGTTAATAATTGCTGCAGATTTTTAAAACTATAATATTTTGACGACTTTTTTTTTTTTTTTTTTTTTACAATAAGCCATTCTGGTACAATGATGGGTCATATGACGTCCAATGTACTGAAGCAAAACCAGTTGTAAATTCAGGTTTAAACCAATTCATTTGGGGGTGGGGAGAACTAGCAAACACACCTTCTTTATTTCCTATAGAAATAAGGAAAATAACCCACAACCATTTCCTAAAGAAAACATGCATTTGATACTAAATTACATACAGGGATATTGCAAAAACATGCTCAAAAGTCTACTGACTGCAAAGGAAAGGTATTTGCACAGCATATGGTCCCATAGATTAATTTCTAATCTTCAAATCACAAAATTCCTCTACAAAAGCTACGGCTGATTTCACATGGAAGGTGTCCCATTTCACTAACTCTTCTGTAGTTACGGAAAAGTTCAACTGTTCTTATACTTGTCTTCTCCTGAATAAGGGGCATCCCTCTGCCAAAAATCACAACAATACAGCAACTGTGTCCTGCCTGAGAGAGAGAACCTGACACTGATACATGAGTGCTGCAGAGGAGGCAATCTGAAGCTGCTGTAAACAATAGCTCAGCACATTTGTGAGGGTTTAGGACTGTGTGGAGATAGGACTATGTATTGGTGTGATTTGTTAATTGGTGTGATTTGGTAGCAAAATGATCATCATAATGTTACAAATTTAACAAATTATGCAAAATATCTTCCTAACTGCATGTGTAGAAGCAAGTGGCTTTGAGAGATTAAGTGAACCATTCGCATTAAACCCTTTATCCAAGAGTATGTTGGCACAGCCTGCGGGCTTGGTCAAAAAAAAAAAAAAAGAATTACTCAACTACTCAAAAGAAAACCGTAATGCACAGAGATCCACTTACAAACTCACTCACAGCCCAACTTATGAGAACACAGGGCCATTTATTTGCCTATACAATAGAGAAAAAACAAGTCCAGAATATTGCCTCTGGTCTCACTCATTCTGCCACATCTTTCTTACTCATTATGAGAGACTTAACTGTTACACAAAAATATAAGGGCAATCCAATATTTAAACACGCAATAAACCAACAACCCTTTTCTTGGATCATTCCAACCCCAAAATGCACCACAAACAAGGCTTTCAAAGAAGTCTGCGTGTCACTCATAATGTATGGATGCATGAACATATAGTCATGTGAAAAAGAAAGTACACCCTTTTGAATTTTATGGTTTTACGTATCAGGACATAATAAAAAAATAATCTGGTCCTCGGCAGGTCTTAAAATGAGGTAAATACAACCTCAGATGAACAACTCATGACATATTACACCGTGTCATGGTTTATTTAACAAAAACTAGGCCAAAATGGAGAAGCCATGTGTGACAAACAAAGTACGCACTTACTGCTTCCATAGGAATGAAAAGAGTAAGTAGCAGTCAGGCGCTGCTAATCAAATGTCTTTGATTAACTGATCATCAGCAAGCGTGATCAGCTCTATAAAAGCAGAAGTTTTGGCAGTTTGATGGTCTGGAGCATTCAGGTATGTGTTAACAAAATGCAAAGGAGGAAAGACATCAGCAATGATCTTAGAGAAGCAATTGTTGCTGCCATCAATCTAGGAAGGGTTACAAAGCCACTTCCAAACAATTTGAAGTCCATCATTCTACAGTGATGAAGATTATAAGGTACGACCATGCACAGCTCAGAGAAACAAAAAATCCAAAAGCTACATCTCAGACTCTACAAGACTCAGTTTCATGTTAAAATGTTAAAGTCCATTACAGTACAATTAAAAAATCACTGAACAAGTATAACTTGTTTGAAAGGGATGCCAGGAGAAAGCCTCTTCTCTCTAAAAAGAACATGGCAGCACGGCTTAGATTTGCAAAGAAACCTCAAGAATTCTGGAACAATGTCCTTAGTTTGACCAGAGACCAAAGTGGTGATGTTTGGCCATAATGCACAGCATCACATTTGGCGAAAACCAAAAACAACATATCAGCACAAACACCTCATACCAACTGTCAAGCACGGAGGTAGAGGGGTGATGATTTTTTGGCTTGTTTTGCAGCCACAGGACCTGGGCACCTTGCAGTCATTGAGACGACCATGAACTCCTCTGTATACCAAATGTATTCTAGAGTCAAAAAATGTGAGGCCATCTGTCCGACATCTAAAGCTTGGCCAAAATTGGGCCTTACAACAGGACAATGATCCCAAGCACACCAGCAAATCTACAAATGAATGGCTCAAAAAGAAAATAATCAAGGTGTTGTACTGGCCCAGTCAAAGTCCAGACCTCAACCCGATTGAAATGCTGTGGCAGGACCTTAAGAGAGCCGTGTATTTAACAAATGCCTGCAAACCTCAATGAACTGAAGCAACGTTGCAAAGAATAGTGGGACAAAATTCCCCCACAACGATGTGAGAGACTGATAAATTCATATAGAAAATTATTACTTCAAGTTATTACCAGTACTGCTAAAAGTTAGCCTGACTTCGTCATATATTCTAGTCAGAATGTGAGTCTGATACTGCTCCCTAGTAGCCTGGGAAAACCCAGACAACTTCCGGCAAATTTAGATTTGCTCTGAAAGTTAGTCTGGCAAAGAGCTCATTCAAGCCCATTTCCAATCCGTCGAAATCGCGCCACCAATCAGAAACGTTGGGGTGGGCTTTACACGATGACGACAGCACAGCGATGGTGAAGCAGATTTTGTACATTTACAAAGATGGATGCCGCCGTGGAACTAGGGGTGTGATGGTTATAGTTGAACACCGTCATTAGAACTCTATAACCGCCAAAACCATGTTATTAAAATATTTTTTTATTTTATCATAGAGAATGTTTAAATACTAATATCGATGCGCAAGACCCCATTTTGCTTGGCTGTGTGCATGTTTTTTTTTGTAACAGCGGGCGCGGCGCCACGTCCGAGGATGACCGACTTCAAGCCGAATCTGCCCGAGCATGTACGTCTCACCGCACCGGTTCCCAGTTTGCGCGTCTAAATTGCAAAGTTCGCTGCAAAGTTTTTTTGGTTAAGGTTTTGTTTACTTTGTGTGATTTATTTAATAGAAAGCACATTCACTTCTAGTTGTGTTGCTGTTAATTTTTAAATAAACGTAGAGCAAGTAGCTAATCAGTGTCTGCTCATTTATTCAAACTAAGTTGTTCTCCTTCATCGCTTTGATTGGTTTTAGGTCTATCCAATTGCGCCCAGAGGCATTTGACCTACGTCCATTGGTGACGCCCCTTTGGAAATGATTTGTCTATGAAGCTTTGCCAGACCATAACTCAGTTACAACTGAGGGTGTTTCTCAAAACCAAGAATGCAAAGAACGGACTTGTGTTCTTGGGGAGAACGCTCTTGCTAGTTGTTCTTGGAAGAATGAACTCACAAGATGACAAGCACACAGAACGCTGCTGACAGTTTGAGACGATGTGTTCTTGCTGGTATTGCGCAATAATGCCCCCACACCGTCTGCAGTACCGTCACCGTCTGCAGTACCCAAACATAACGAGAATTATTGACGATAACAGCCAGGCTGCAATGGTCTCTTGACTGTGGGGTAAAACGAGTCTGTGAGCAAACTGGCCGGTTGGCTCACTAGCTAACTTAACACCCGCAGGCGCTTATGGAGATTCTCACTTCCGAAAACGTTTGAGCACATTTTCAATTCGCCATATATTTTCGTAAAAATGCCAATATTTGAAATCTACACAGTTGATTTCTCGCATCAAATGTTCTCAGAAGTGAATTTAGTGATGAAAAAACGAATTACTGTATTGACCTGCCTCTCCTTCCTCGAATGCCGAATTGAATGCTGGGATATTTCTGCCGTCAAGTTCACACAAGTTACCAACCGATGCATTCTCGGTAAAATGGGCGTGTCAAGAACACATCCGGGATTTTTAACCGTTCTTGCCAAAATGCAAACTTGTGTATTGGGACAGTACTTGGGCCACAAAAGATGACATTTCACAAGAACACAAGTACAGACAAGAACACGGATTGAGAAAGGCCCTGAGAATGGTCTGGTTTTAACCAGGCTAGCTCCATAGGGCTTTGATTATGAGGCGTGTCTTAACCGAACCAGGAAAAAAAAACCTCTGCACTCAATTGACCTTTCGCCGGCCCCTCCCCCAAAACGGCCATTGTCCAATCACACATCATAGCAACCCGTTACTATGTGAGCAGGTCCGTCAAACATTGACCCCAAGCAAAATGGTGAAGCGGTGCGTCCACAGCGTTTGTAGATCGGACACTAGATACCCCGAGAGATTGTATGGAGGAGTTGTGTTCTTTCCGTTTCCAAAGCCGAAAACACAACGTGAGCGGTGCCTACAATGGATAAAACAGTGTGGACGGCCCCACTCCCAGTTAAATGTGTCGAACATGGTTAACTCGCGTGCAGCGTGCGTGAGACAGACACTGAGATTAGTCAAAGAAACATGGAGAAAGCAGATCAAAAGGATCCACAAAGGAATTACGTTTTCTAAAGGGTTGTTGTTAACATGATATTTTCGGGGGGAAATGAGCAGCAGTCAACTAGCAGTGCAGCACCCGTAGCTAACGTTACAGTTTAGAGGAGTGCACGTTTGCAACGGGGAAAGCATGAAGCTTACTTGACAACATCAGTCGAGTTCATATATCAATATCGTAACAAATAGAAATAACCTTAAATAATGTATGGTTATCTGCATCTTTCCGTCTCTTATGTATAGTTACTTTTTAAACACGAAAATCGCATTCAGCATGACACGCAAGCGGTTGCCGTGGTAGAACCTGCTTGTTAAAGCGAATGTATAATCCTGTATCTGAGGCAAAATTACTAAATATGCAGCGTGAGTTAAATATTTCTAACTCCAAACAATTAGCCACTGAACCCCAGCTTATAAAATCTTCAAGGCAAGGTTGCATTTGAGGTACAGGACATGGGGTTTCTCAGATTTCGCTTGAGACCGGTAAGCATTAGCCTCGCTATTAGTCGGGTCTCCTTCATTGCTATTTTTATATTTTGAATATATCCCTCCAATGCATACTGTAACCCCTTTTGCCTCGATCTGGAGGATATCGCTGAGGTATTGCTCCAAAAAAGGTCACTGACACGCACGGGTCTCTTCCCGTCATGGCAATCTGTCGCGCTGGTCGTGTTTGTCCATTTGTTTGACGGACGTAGTAACCTTAACTAGGGGGCGTGGCTTTTGCGAACGGTCAATTGGATAGACCTACAACCAATCAGAGCAACTCAGTAAGTGACGTACGGAGGTGCTCGCAGGCGAGTGCAGAATGAATGGGAGTCTATGGGGTTTCACCCCCAGAAATCCACTTTTCTCAGGATGTAATTTTTTGTCAAGTAATTTGAAAGTTGCATTCAAAAGGGAGGGCTAAGATAATACACTCAGCTGAAAATTGCATTTTTAAGTTCACTTATCTGTTCTAAAAATCCGTTCAAAAATGTGATGACGTCACATAATAGCAGAATGCTAGCGTGTTCCGGCCAACAACGGCCTAACCTGTAAGAAATCGAAAGGACATAAGTACTCGTTCATTCGACTTTTGGCCTATAATCTATATTGAACTTGCGGAATCAACAATAAAATCTATGTTGATTCAACGACAAGCAGGAGAAAGAGATACATTTAGCCGTTTAGTCAAAGAAGTGCCAAGGCTCTCCGTTAGACGGGCTCTGGTGCGACCAAAGGAGAAACCACAATGACCGCAGGGTTTTCATTGCGTCCCATCTTCTTAGCGACCATCGGAGCCAGCTGATAAATTAAACTTTTGCCGAATCCCTTAGGAAGGACGGCAAACACATCTTTCCGATTGACAAATGCCTTGATTGCAGTTCTATGTTCGTCTTTTAAAATGAATGCGCTGTCCATTTCTTTTACAACAGACGTGATAGCGGAATCTCTACATCTCAATTCTCCAGCTGCAGTCATCTCTGAGGGAAACCAGTTCAATCCAAGCGCTCTTTGATAACGTGATGATTACGTAACTGCAGATTATCTGTCCATCATCGTATAAAGCCCGCCCTGGCAATTTGATTGGCCCGACGATTTCTGAACCGATCATAATTACTCCTCAATGGATCGAGTCCAGACTGAACTTCCCGACCAAAAAATGTTGTGGGCGGGGTTCGGGCTGGCATCCAGGTTAGCTAAAAGTGGCTCTATAAGCAACTGAATCATAGGGTGTACTTAGTTTGTCACCCATAGTTTCTCCATTTTGGCTTTTTTTGTTAAATAAATAATGACACAGTCTAATATGTCATGGGTTGTATTTACTTCATTAAGACCTGCTAAAGACCAGATTATTTTTTATTATGGCCTGATAAATAAAACCATAGAATTTCTTTTTCACATGACTGTATTTTAAGCAATGGCAAGATGGTAGATGTGAAATGGGATGAAAAGACAGGCAGCCTGCATGATTCTGTTGCTTTTAGCACATCATCGGTTGCCACCATGTGGCTGATGATGATGACTCCAATATATCCCATAATTCAAGAGTCATCAGGTTTCTGAAGATGTCCATAAGTGTCATATTATCACACATGCTGCTTTTCATAAAACATGTTCAGTGTTACGTAACTGTGTATAATATATAACAAAAATCTAAGTCAGGGGTGAATCTCTGACTATGACAATTATGACCAAGAACAAATCCAAGATGAACACAGACAGATGTAAGCAAAAATGAAAACTAGTAGACATTAGACAAAGCCTAGAACATATCCATGAACTTTTTCTTTTTCTTTTTTTTTTAGCATAAAAATTTACATAAGAGAACTGTATATCCTTGTTTTGTAACTGGTCACCAAATGTTACATTTCTTTTTACATCACATTTTGACTTCACCTATCCATTTTAAGTGGACCTACTGTGTGACAAAATAATTTTTAAAAGTTCAAATATTTTATTTAAGCTCCCAAATCATGTGAACTGGAATCCAATTCAATTCATAAAAACTGCATGTACAATAATTACAAAAGAGAAATGTTTAAAAATACATTTTTAAAAGTCATGCTGAATCTGCTCAAACAGCCAAATAAAACCTGGATATTAATGTACATGGCAGCTGCACAACAACATTTTGACAAAAGATAATATTTATAGTAATATAATATTTTAAAAGGATTAAAAAGAAGAAGGAAAAAAATCTTCAGCCAACTTCCTCCTCCAACCTATAGCGAAAATCATGTTACTGACGTCCAAATCACTGTTCATTTCTTTATTTGCCGTAAACTGCCCTATTAAGATTTTGGGAACCATTAGAGACATTTAGACACTGTCATTCCTGGATTGGACTTGGACAGATGGACGTTAAAATTGTCATCGACAGCTGCCAATTTAAAAGTGAACCTGAACTTGCTGCGCAATGAATAACCATTTCCATTAGTAAGCTTCAACATTCCCTTTTAAACTGACGTGCAGCCATGAAGTGTTTATGTTTGGTAATAGTTTATAGGTCAATATTTTTTTCTTGAATCAATAAACCACCCATCTGTATACTGCCAAACTATTGGTGTATGTTGTAAATCCATCATCTTGTCCAGTTTGATTCATTCAATTGGCACATGGGTTACGTTAGCAAACAGGGGAAAGCGTGAGAGTGCAATGCCCTTTGGTCGCATGCTGCACGACTTCAAAACTCTATCTAACACGGTTCATATATATATATTTACTGCAGAAGCCACGACTGTCTGTTCACTGAAATAATGCACTTATGCTCAAGTTAACATATCAAGCGGCTGGTGTTTATTAGGGCAGCAACTTGTGCTCATCATACTTGCAATATAGCATAACTTACGACAGCAGTTTCAAAAACCGCGTTTCATCTCATCTGATCCGATTAACATAGCAATGCGAGAATGCAGTCTTACCTTCTTGATCTTGTCTCACGGCAGTTGCGTTCTGGGGTCCAATCCTGTTCCTTGAAAGAACGTGAAGGGTGTTATGTACAGGGTGTTATGTCGCAGCCGAATGGTTCAGATTCCCCGCTGGATTTTCAACTCGTTAAAATTGTTTGCCGAAGTGTGTTTAAATCGTCTGAGTTGGCTTGTCCTGACACAAATCAATTGAACACTTTTTAGTATTTGGCCAGTTGCAACATTTTTTCTTGAATCAATAAACCACCCATCTGTATACTGGCAAACTATTGGTGTATGTTCTGAGACTGGCGTCCCCGCCTACGTCTCACTTGTCATTGATGTGATTGGTTGGCGCTGAAATCGGCGGTACCTATTCGTTCTGCGTGACGTCAATCATCAACAGCTATGTACAGGTCCCGGTCGTATTGGACGTTTGGGGAAAGCTTGGGTGTTGTAGTTTCATGACGGGACAAAACTACAGATGGATAATTACTGCAGTCGTTGTCATATGGACGTTTCCGTTACCCTCACTAGTTTCTAATTTTACACATACCAAAGTTATAAAATATGTTTGTAATATTTGCAATGTATGTGTTTCTAAGTGATATGCTGTGGACATGCTGACTCTTAATCAATGTAATATGAAATCAAAATTATAAAATAAGGCCTAATTGTCTCGTGCAAACAAATGACAATAAACACAATAGATATACATCAAATGCACTTTTCTGTCTCTCTTACACTATTTTTAATAAGCCCATGCAGATTTACAGTTATATAGGCAACAGTGTTATGAACAAAAAGAGGTAATTTAGAAACAGAGGTCCAAGATGTTTATTTAGCAAGAAAACCAGAGTTCTGCAACGGAATGCATAACCTTTCTCTTTTTTTACTATATTACCTTATGGGCAGAGGAAGAGAGAAAAAAGAACCAGACCGTAAACTTAGATCTCAAGAGGAAGAAAAAACAACAACATATAAAGGTCATAAAAAACATAACAGTAGAATAAATTAAGAACTGGGGCAGAAGATGCAATACTACCACCATAATGTATGTGATTCTACCATTATACACCATTTAACCTTAACCATTTGTTTGTTTAACGGTCTATACAGTTTACAAAAAAATGGATTTCATTCAAAGCTGCATTTCATGGCAGCAGTTGCTGCACCAACACAGCAGACACTGTCTAACTGGATGACAAGCATTACACACCATCCCAATTGCCACTGTGCATGGACCACAACTACAGGACCATGGGAGAGCATGCCATTGCTTCTGAAAATTTATTCTTAAAAAAAAAAATCATAAAATGCAGGTGCTATGGATGTATACAAATATATCAAATAGCCTGCAGGAAGAATCAACACACAGCTTAAATTTAATATTTTTCCCTAGACAGAAATGGTCCACTGACTAGGACACCAAGTGCAGCATCAAAATGTAAGACTGTGTATTAAGGTGAAAACTATTCTACATCTTCAGTAAAACTCCACACTTCTAGAGCTCAAACCAAACATTAAACCTCTCTACACCAGTCTAAAACAAATAGGGGGCAATTGCTTTGGGGTAGTAAAATTAGTGAGGAAATTGACGTTGGAAAGAAGGTTAAAAACTTCCCATGTTTCTCTCAAATAATACAAAAAAGGGGCAAAGCAAACTAACTAAAATAATTGGTCCCCAATTAACCATCTCTGGATTATTCTACACAGGTTTGTCTAAGTTTTTTTTAAGTTTTTTTTTCCGTAGACATTAGTTATGCGGTCCCTAAAGAACAAGCCCTATACCAAAACGTAAACTGTACTGAGTGGCTCCACTTTAAATCCAACTACAAGCACTCGCTCAGACACACAGTTCTACACTTACAAAAACAATCACACTATGACATGGAAGTTTGAGCCATTTTGTTATATAAAGCCCCTGATTATCCATGAATGGTTATTCACCATACAGTTCTAAGACCACTGAGCAGAGGTTGCATGAGAAACATGCAGTTAAAGGAGAACTAGCAAGTTAGAAAAAGAGGCAAGCTGGGAAGAAAAACAAAAGACACAGAAACATGCCAAACGTAAACAAAGCATGCATTGCTCTTGTCCATATAGTATGTCACAATCTTTAAAATATTGATACATGTGTTACACTGCTGTTATCACCATCATATATGCAAGATTTAAACTTTGTTGTGCATGTAAATGTTTTCCTCCAAAGAAAACCAGATAAATGTAGGAAAAAGATTACAGAAGATCATAAGTAAAAACAAGCAGAGCAGGGGGACTGTTTAAACTAAGGGAAAGCAGAAGAGAGCAAAACTAAATGGAGAGGAGTAAGATATTGGGTTGTGAATGCTTGTTGAAGGTTGACAGTGAGAGTGCTGCCCACTGTTTGGTCTGTTGTGCTCCTTTTGGTTTCCAGTTTTACTTCGCTGTCATCATCTGGACAAACTCTGAAAAATTGGGAAAAGAATATTTTTTGACAAACGTGCAAACCTTTACAAACTGAGTTCACAAGAATTCTGCAAGAAACAAACTTCAACAAAATAAGCCATGACCCATAAAGCCATAATCCATTTGACCCCTGAATTGTTCTAAATACCTCAACCACAAGCTTGGGATTTAAGCAGACAATACATACTTGCATATAAAAAAATACAAATAAAACACTATGCATCAATGACATTAACATGTGGAAATACCTTCATAGTTGACCTGGCCATCACCGTCAATATCTGCCTCCCGGATCATTTCATCCACTTCCTCGTCTGTAAGCTTCTCCCCCAGATTTGTCATGACATGACGCAACTCTGCTGCACTGATATAACCGTTTCCATCCTGTAAAGTATTAGTCATTGAGTGAGGAAAATATTCTTTCCAATTTTTTTGTTAAAGAAACACTTTCAATAAGTGAGTACATGTTTCCAAGAAAACCTATTTTACCTTATCGAAAACTCTGAATGCTTCTCTGATCTCCTCCTCGCTATCTGTGTCCTTCATCTTTCTGGCCATCATAGTAAGGAACTCTGGGAAATCAATTGTTCCATTGCCTGAGGGGGGTAAAAAGATAAGATTTAGAGAAGAGCTACAGTAACATGGCATTATCTGTGGAAGGGTTTCCTCACCATCAGCATCGACTTCATTGATCATATCCTGAAGCTCTGCCTCTGTAGGATTCTGGCCCAAAGAGCGCATGACAGTCCCTAACTCTTTAGTAGTGATGGTACCATCACCGTCTTTGTCAAATAAGGAGAAGGCCTCCTTGAATTCTGGAGAGAAAAAAAAGCACAGATAATGAGTTAAATATTATAAAATCATAGTGTTGGTTTAAAGGGAGTGTTCACTCCAAAATGAAAATTCTGTCATCATTTACTCATCCTCAAATTGTTCCAAACCTGTATGAATTTCTTTTTTCTGCTGAACACAAATGATGATATTGAGATAATAACCCCATTGACTTCCATAGTATTTTTTTCTTCTTCTCCATATTATGGAAGTTAATGGGGTCCATCAACTGTTTGGATTCAAACGATCTTTAAAATATCTTATGTGTTCAGCAGAAGAAATTCATACAGCTTTAGAACAACTTGAGGGTGAAGCAAATGACAGAATTTTCATTTTTGGGTGAACTATCCTTCTAAGGTAAAGGTTAATCTTACATACCAGCAATCTGCTCCTCTGTTAGCTGATCAGCCTATAGAAATGACACACACAAAAAAACATTTTTTTATAAAAATTCTTATAAGCATAGCCAGATAGCACTGAGATTTCAGTCTGAAGCTTAACTTTATTTATTGCGAGTTAAACTGAACGGAACGTGTCTAACACGTGACAGCTTGTGGTTTACAAGTTTGATGATGTCATTCATGACTACAACGCCTAACTCGGGGCTCTGAATTTACAAAACGCAGTCACAGCAGACTAACGTTGCGTTGCGGTATTTAACTGTATGACTATTTGCATTTTAAAAAATTTTCTATAATGTGGTTCACGGTTAGAGGCCAGCTGAATGGATTAGTGCGCATGCTGTGGGAAACTAAAAGCATGTTGTGGCCGATCCGATATATTATAAAAAGCTTGAACTATTTTTTGCACAAGGGACGATACGGTTCGCGTCTACTGTAAACCATCGAGATTTTTACATATATTTTCAAACTGTTGCCCGCTGACGCCGACATGAGGCGAGCTAGCAGCAACAGGGAATCAGTCAAGGAGGATGTGCTAGAATAGCACATTTTATGCTGTAAATGTCTCGCGCCTAATTGCAATTATTCAAACGTCACACGGCAAGCGATAAAGCCGCTTACTCAACACTCAGAAATTATATGAAAACTGTGTGTAACCCGTTTAAGTGACGTTAACCCGGGAGCTCGCGCGCTCTTTCAATAGAATGACGGTTAGCTCGCGAGGAGCTAGGCTAATTCACACCTATCACTTCGCCGTGGACGCTCAGCCATTTTTGTAGCAACGTTGCACTTTGACTATTAGAATAAAGTGTTATAAAGGCTTACTTACCATTGTATTTTAGTGTGAACTACGTTGCTCTTTACGCAGATAAAAATTGGAAATCCAAGCGTTTGCTTTCCGCCCGTGCGATTGTCAAGCACTATCTTCTGCTGCTGTGCGCCCAAATTTCAATATCACTACGCCTTAGTGTTTCGGTCCAAAGTGGGACGTCGCACTCCTTGACAACAAACCTGTTACTATGGTCTTCCTACGCCACGTAGTCAAAATGTTTGAACTCCAAATAGCACAGAGAAACCCTCCCGTTTTCGTTTATAAAAACGATATATTGTACAGCGTTGTTTATAGACTGTAAAGTTCTGTTTTAGGTTTATTCTTTTCAAAAGCCATAGCATTCAACGGTGGCTTTAAGGTTTGAATGGATGGTGCCGGAGAGTTTATATATAGAAGTCTGATGGCACTCGTCAGCTGACCTAGGAAACGTATTTTGATTGGTTTTCAGCCACCTGCAATGCGTCAGGGAGTCCTCGAAGAGAGCAGTTCTTAAAGAGACAGACGCAGGAAAACGAGTAGTAGAGTTGTGTAGATAGTGCTGCAGACTGGCAGCATGTCAGAGCAAGAGTCTGTTGTTATAATTACGCCCATTTTATGGTCAGTACAGTGATTTTGAATGTCTTATTTAGATAAATAAAGTTCAACTAAAAAACACCATTAGATTAGAAGGGACTACAATGCGTTGCTTAAAAGTGGAGGTTTTTGGTCAGGTTTGTGGTCCCAAATGAGTAATTGACCTAGAAAAGTTTGAGTTGTGAGAAGGTAGAGGACATAAGGAGAAAATAACTCATTCATCAGTAATATTTCAAGTATCTATTTTTTTCCCTTTTAGATTTACATTTAATCATTTAGCAGATGCTTTTATCCAAAGCGACTTGCAAATTATATAAAATGTACAAATATCTCTTGAAGGGCCTTTTTTTCTTGTGATAGACCCTTTTCACATTTCCAGGTTTCTCAGAACTGGAAGTTGTCATATAGTTGGGTAAACTTCTAAAGTGGTGAATGAGAGACTACATTAAAAAATATTTTTGTGTTCCCATTTGCTCAAATAGCAAAAGAAAAACTCCACAATAGTGTTTTCGCAACTTTCAAAGAGAAAAAAAAAATGAGAGAGATTGATAACGGTAGTCAGAATAGAGAAAGACATTTCATTTCATTTAACTTTACCATCACTCCCACAACTGCTGTAACACCCTGAAAAGAGCTTTAGTTTTTTTTGTAATTTGTTGCAAAATTAATAAAATACCAAGTATAGTGTTATAAATACACATTCTTTTTTTTAAATGGAAATTATAAAATAAAATCTTTGCTGGACTTAAGATGCTGATGACTGTTAAAACACTTCATCACAGTCTGTGAAAAGGGTCCGTTAGGTCTGTTCTCTCAGACCTCATACACTTGAGACAATTTCCCTCAACACTCAAGGCACTGAGCCGATCTCAGCAGGGGTTTGTAAATCTGTAATGAGTTAAAATAGCCAGGTGAGACTGAGCTCTCTATATGCATAATGAATAGCTCTAAATAAAGAAGTCATCAGTAGAGACACCTGATATCATGCTATGCTGGAGACAATGAGAGCTGCTCCCTTTTATGGCGGTAGATTTTAATTATTCAACCATGTCTCCGTTACATCTCATTATGCTGGCAACACTTATGAAAATAGATGAGGGAAGCCTACCTGAAATAATACAATGACAAACTACAAAGATGAATTGCTCCACTTAATTTATTGTCCACACCTTTCATTTTCATGCCTTTTTTTCAATTACATAGAAGAAACAGCCATTTAAGATTTACTCGAGGACACGTGAACACTTTGTGTGCAGAATTGCACTACATTTGAAAAACTAAAAAAATTACATAAAAAGGTTTAAACGAAAAATTATTCTTCCTATGGAATGTATTCTATGTAACAGAAAAACCACTACCAGCTTAAAGTTATGTTTAGTAGTCATGCAGTGCATGTGATGTATGTAATAGTACAATCTGATGCTTTATGCCAGTGTTTATGTACTAAAAAAAGGACAAATATTGTAACAGAACGGCCAAATTCATGTCCTCACACTAACTACAAATTTAAAGTGTGTCTTTAGGGTGTATAAGGAAACTTCAGCATTATACCCTGTTCTGGCTTCACCTCAAGTTTTGCAAGGTTACGCACTTTATCAGCATCTAGATCATCAGTACTAAACACTACTGTAGCGTCTTTAGGAATCTCAGCATGCTTCAGCTGAAGAGTGACAGTTTCGTTTGAGTGCCAGTTAAGTGCAATAAGGTAGCGCTCATTCTGGTCCCACCTTCGCACATAGGCCATGGCGAAGGTCGAGTTGAACAAAGGCAAGTATTCTCCATGCTGCAGAGAACGCTCCTTTGATCTTTTTTCACTCACAGTCTTGAAGAATAAACGGAAAGTTTTCATTTTATCCAGAATGTTCTGTAAAGCAAACATGAACATTTTACTAAAACTGCTAGACACAATATTGAATGTTGTAACTCTGGAGATTTAGCACTGTGTGCACAAGCGCCTTACCACTGGAGTCATAGTGTCGTTGGAGAAGTCCCACACCATGGTTGGGTTTTTGGTAGACTAAATGGAAGAATAACACAACATTTTAGGATCTGCTCTCGAAAAGCACTCGGACCTGCTGCCTACTTTTGATAAAAACCTTCAGTTGACCTACCTCATCTCCCAGTCCGATCTCGTCCCCATAATTAAACACTGGTGTGCCAGGCAGGGTGAGCAGCAGCAGTTGACTCAACTTGACTTTGGCAAGCCCCACTACTGAAGCCAGGTGTCCAGCGATACGCCCACCGATGTTCCAAGCCAGTTGGGTCTGATTGTAAGTGGAATACAAGCGAGCAACAGAATGGGCAACTTCCAGAGCAGACCTGGACCTTAGAGCACCAGTGAGGAGCAGGTCAACACCAGTTTTGTTCAACACAGCAACTATGTCATCAGGAGAGGACTTCTCTGTAACGCCAATTAAGACCCTGGAAAGATAAAAAAAAAAAAAAGTCAGTAAGGTTGTTTAAGGTTATTTAATAAAAGTATTGAATGGAGCAAGTTGGTTAGCAATACAATTTCAAACCAATAAACAGCCCACTAAAGTCACCTTGACTGGAATTCAGTTTGTAAAAGTTGCTCCCAACGACCACAAGGTGGCTCCTTTACTTCACAAAAATAATCTACTAGTCCATTCATGAAGTTTAAAACAATAAATTAAAGAAAATCAACTGTGGAGTGCTCACTTTTTAGTTTTTCCATCGGATTCTGTCTGATTGCGGAGAAGGTCTTCAACATCCCTCCAAAGGGATGGGGCTGCAGTGGAAACCTTCTCGACACCGTAGAAGAGGAACCCGTCTACACCTTCTGCTAGCCAGTGCCTCAGAGCAGGCTACAAAGACAAGGATCAGAATTATTACTCTGGAAACTCAAGTACCCAAATCAAGTTCAAGTGACAACATAGATTATTGGACAAAGAAATTATCTATTACTATTGCTCACAATCTAAGTCATACCTCAAGTTCCAAAGAGCTGACAACATTATTGTCAAACCAGGGCTCTTCTCCTTTATAGTTAGGGGTAAGGTCCAAAACAACAAAGATACCTAGGGGTAAACACAAACATTTAATTGATATATAATTTTTCAAACATATATATATATATATATATACACACACACACACACACACACACACACACATGTGTATGTGTACATACAGTGCTTAACAAATTTATTAGACCACCACCCAATGTAAGGTTTGTGCCACAGCTGCCCATAACAAACAATATTGGTGATTACCAAAATAATTTATGTTTCTGAAATGGTTAATCCACCAGTATGTGTAAGCTCTTTAGTCACAGTTGGCGAAGTCAAAGTCTGGACTTGAATCCTATAGAACAAATTTGGGATTCAGTGGATTCAAAGATAGATCACACAAAAGTTTCATCATAAGAAACTCTTTGGGAACAACTAAACTATTTGGAGGTCGATAACAACAGAGACTGTGGAAATGTACGGTACATAAAAACAATGCCAGCAAGAATGCAAACTGTTATCAAGGCCAAAGGACGCCATACAAAATATCAAGGTTTTTTTTCCATTTACATTAATTTGCATTTATTCATTTTACAGATGCTTTTATCCAAAGTGACTTACAAATGAGTAAGCGATTCAGCGTGAAGAGGCAAACAAACACATGAAGTGCTCAAAATAAAAAGTTTCAGACATTGCTTAGAGTAGCATAAGCTAGAAAAGGAAGGGATTAAAAGGGAAGTGAAAAAAAAAAATTATAATGATGAGGTTAAGTGCACACGGAAGAGTTGAGTTTTAGCTGTCTTTTGAATGTAGTCAGGGATTCTGCCTTCCGGATGAAGGTGGTGAGATTGTTTGATTTTGGTTATTGTGTGTGAATAAAGACTATCTAGTTGTTTCAGTTTGTTATATGCCAAATAAATGACAATAAAAACATTTAAAATTTGAAAGTTTTTGACAGATTCCTAAAGTATTTTTGTTTTCTCTTCATTATGACAGGTGGTCTAATAAATTGGAGCACTGTACATGTACACATACATAAGCAACTGTATATTGTGAAATATTATTACAATTAAAAATGTATATTTTAATATTTTAAAATGCAATTAATTCCTGTGATGGCGAAGCTGAATTTTAGCATCATTACTCCAGTCTTCAGAGTCACATGATCCTACATAAATCATTATAATATGATGAGTTGGTGCTAAAGAAACATTTTTAACTCATTATTAATGCTGGAAAACAGTTATATTTTGTAAAAACTGAGATACATTTCAGAATTCTTTGATAAATAATAAAGTCTACAACTCACCTCTTTTGTGTGCAGCCTGGATTACTTCTTTAAACTGCGACGCATTACCAGCCTCTTTGGAAATCTCAGTCAAGTTCAGATCCTCTGGCTTGTCGGCACTGGACACATGGATCGGGCCTATGACAAGACCCTTCACCTTTAACTCATCCAATGCCTGAACCTTTCCAGCCAAACCTGAGGGAAAACGAGAATAAATAGGGAGATATTCAGATCACAGACCACATCCATGTTAATACTCCATGTTAATAAAATCATTGTACCAGATTTATCGATTCAGCAGCATAAGGAAAGAGTGATTATGAGTTTAAACATGTTCAGAGCCTGACATCCGCATTTAATCCACATTTAATCCCCAATCTGACCCAACCCTGCAACCCATTAACACTCCCTCCTTAACATAGAACATTTTAGTTGATTGGGTGTTGGCCCATGGAGTTGTCTGTCTTTACCTTTCAGGTCTGAAGTAAAGGAGTTCACGTCTCCAATCTGGTACAGTGGTCCATAGTTCCACCAGTTCATCTCAGGGAGGGGCTTGCATCGAGGAGCATGAATAATGATGGCAATAGCGCCAGCCAGCATGCCCAGCCAACCAAGCCAGAACAGAATCAGAAGTGCCCAACGAACTTTAACCCACCTATTCAAGAATAGACAACATTGATTAAATCATCCGAGTAACTGAAAAACTGAAAAATCCGCACCAAGATCTAACTTAAAGTAAATGAGGTTTAGCCATGGTGCGTGTCATACCCTGGTGTTCCGGCTACTTTCATGAGTTCTTCTTTGGATAACCCAGTGAATTTAGTCTCCTCATCTGGAATCTTCACCTTCACAATGCCATTCTTCTCACTTACAGGCGAGATGGCATAATTATTTCTAGCCTCTCCCTCTCTAATGGGCTGCTTCTCCTGCTCCACCTCATTGAGCTCCACATCTTTCATATCCACCTCAGGTTCGTTGCTCATTTTGTCAGTTTATGTTTAACGTTCTGGAAACAAATTTAATTACATTAGCAGCAAGCACATCTTGGGCTGAATCCGAAATCGCCCAATAACTTATTCACTATTCCCTACGTTAGTCCACTGATAATAATACTGCTCACTGTTCGTACATCGGTTGCACGCTCGTTACTTCAGAGCAATGATTGGTTGAATAAGTGCACTTGGTTACGTCCACTATGCTTTCGGACACTAGTACAAATGTCTGTCCTCTCAAATAACGCCCTATTTGAGGGTATAGGGGCGATTTCGGATTCAGCCACTGTCGTCACGGCACCAGAATTACAGGCTGAGGAAGCAGATGTTTGACGTCATGGGCAAAAAACGCGTTCAGGCAAGATACGCTGAACGTTGCATCACCTAATCAATTCACGCGGAGATGGCGACAAAAAAGCTTTTTATAACAGATGTACTAATACCCGAAATGACAAGTACACCAAGGCTCTTAGGTAGACTAGAAAGATTTGGGCTCTGTTAGACAAAACAACAGTTAATCCAGATTAAACCTCCAGTGACCGTAGACATAGCAACCAAATGCCGGGTGCCAGATCAGCATAACCACGCTCATCAAATCCAGTTAAAAATATACAAATAAATATAACCGACGTGGGGCTAAATAAAGCTTTTGTGAGAATTAATTATATATAACATTATCGATTCGTTAAAAAGCAGTAGTTTTCAAAGGAAATTGTACATTTGATGTAAATGGTAGCGCGACATTTTGTAAACCGGATTGGTCCAGTTCTATTAGAGCCTGTCTGTTCACTGACTCATTCAGCCTTAATTAACACAGGTTAAAGAATAACAAACAATTTAAATCAGAAACATGCCAATGTAATAGTGCTTTTAAATGTGAATAAACAATGATGTACGTTACGGCTCGCAAATATCAAGGATGTTGGCAAATTTAGGAACTAAATTACGCAAAATTAACTGAAACAAGACCAGATCTTACCAGTTAACGTTACACTGGAATAATGATGAACTCTTCGTTTAAATTGTTTGCGATAAATAAGAAATACCCTGCTGATGTTCCCTGGTATCGTTCGTGTCTGTATTCACAGTGATGCTCGTGGTTTTTATACGGCAAAGAGAGTCTGAGCCGCATGCCTAGTCTACAAGTTTCTCCGCCCACATTTAAGGGGGAACAGCACAAAACCTGTTTTCGGACTAGTGAAAAAGCCGACAATTCTACTATTTTAACGAATCGATTCTTTTGAACAATTCGCTTAAAAGAACCTGTTCCTTTGCATCATGATAAAAAAGTAATAATAACCAAACCACATTTCCAGTATATCTTATTTGTATTTTCTGCTAGTTTATTTTCGCTACATCAGTAAAATCCCATATTTACCCCTAAAGATCCGACTCAAAAGAACGATTCGAATCATCCACGGCGTGAATCGAGTGCAACTAGCACATCAAAGCTGAAGCAGTTTAATTGAGACTCATAATGTATTAGTATTATATCTGTGGCATGTATAGAGAAAACAAACAAATTAATTTAACAATGTTCAGTTTTATCAATTCTGTAGTACGTTAACCTGCATTTGCATTTCAGGCAGAAAATTCATTTTTGTAGCATTTTAGATAGTCCACCTTAAAGGACCCTGACATTACTACCTAATTCTTTCTCCTCCCTGTTGTTTTCGTGACTGTTTGGGAGGGTTGAACTCAATACATGATTGAGTTCAACCCCCCCCCCCCCCCCCCCAAAAAAAACAACATGTTTATGGAGGTCTTGAATGTATTGAGTTTCTTTCCTAGAAAGAGAAACAGCAACAAGAACAAAAAACATTGTAAACGGGAATCTCAATGTACAGTTTAGTTAGTTCTTCAGTGCTCTGTTCAATCATCAAAGTCTACCACTTACCCAAATTGTTCTATATTTTAACCATGCTGTATTTATATGTTTTATATGTATAGTGTAGCTTAATTTGTTTGTTCTTTAATATATTATAAAAAGACCACTAACCCAGATAGCACAAGTCTATTTGATGTGATGTTTACATCTGGAAGACGTATTTTTAAGAGTGTATGCTCATCTGCAATACATCTATAGGACGTTTCCTGTCAGATGTCAAATAGACGTTTAGAAGATGTCTTTAAGTCTTTGTCATATGTCTTTAATGATTTAGAATGCATGTTAAACTGACATCTTCTAAACGTCTATTTGATATCTGACATGAAACGTCCTATAGACGTATTGCAGATGAGCAAACACTCTTAAAAATACGTCTTCCAGATGTAAACATCACATCAAATAGACTTGTGCTATCTGGGAAGTGAAAAATAGCTCAAAATGTTTTGCTTAACCTTTACCCTAATTATGTGCTTTGGTCATTTAAGCAGCTAAGCCTGATTAAATGCAACTCCAAAACTCTTATTTGAATTTGCCATAGACATGGAGTACAGTAAAAACGCCTTATCAATCAGGTAGTTTGATGAAACAGCAAAAGAAATACAAGAGCACAGATTTAAAAAATAATAATAAACAAAAAAAAATCTAAATGTATAAAGCCCTTATAGTTTTAACCTCTTTAATAAATTCTATTGTCCTTATTTGCTTGTCTTTTGTGCTCCTAGTGATTAATAATGTTCATTCAATGCAGTACAGACCCATGCATCAGAAAAACATTCACAACATAGTGTCACAGTGTCTGGTTGTGTTCCCTTGTTTGTCACTAGAGGTCCTCGTTATCACGGTGTCCTTCACTATTGACTTCATTTCCCAGCATTCTGTCTGTCACTGTCACTCATCAGTTCATTGCACTCAGCTGTTCCCCGTCATCATTGTTCCCAGCTGGTCATTGTTAGTCTTGTTAGATCTGTGTATATATTCCCTGTTTGTGTTAGTATGTGTACGGAGTCGTTGTTAGATGTCACCACTTCCTTGGTCGGTTTTCTTGTTGGTTTGTGTTTTGTTTTCATGTTTGGTTTGATAATTTGGTTTTTGACCCTTGCCTGGAAGACTACGATTTGGATTACCCTTATATTAATAAACTGCTGCTATTGGATCTTCTGTCCCGTGTGTGTCGTGACAGAACGACTCCGTCAACTCTGATCCAGCGGTATGTTTTTTGATATCTCTTCCCCAGCCACCGAGCGGGAGAGAAGGGAATTTTTTAAGGGGACCCGGTTGGTCAAGTTTTGCGGGACCCGTGGAGGTCACAGAGGAGGATGTAGTCGGGAGACAATCCCTGTTCCGGTGGTCCCTGTTCCGGTGGTCCCGGTTCCGGTGGTCCCGAGTCCGGGGGTCCGGAGAAGAAGGAAGAGACACGTCCCTTCTGCCCAGTCAGAGACTGTTCACGTCCCGTCTGCCCAGTCAGAGACTGTTCACGTCCCGTCTGCCCAGTCAGAGACTGTTCACGTCCCGTCTGCCCAGTCAGAGACTGTTCACGTCCCGTCTGCCCAGTCAGAGACTGTTCACGTCCCGTCTGCCCAGTCAGAGACTGTTCACGTCCCGTCTGTCCAGTCAGAGACTGTTCACGTCCCGTCTGCCCAGTCAGAGACTGTTCACGTTTCGTCTGCCCAGTCAGAGACTGTTCACGTTCCGTCTGCCTTCATGGACCTGGACTATCTGGAGCGTCTGGCACGGATCCTGGACATGCCCGTGACTGCTGTTCCAGAGCCGGAGCCAGTGTCTCCTGTTCCAGAGATGGAGCCAGTGTCTGCTGTTCCAGAGCCCGTTCATGAGCCGGAGGCAGAGCCATTGCCTGTTCCAGAGGCAGAGCCATTGCCTGTTCCAGAGGCAGAGCCATTGCCTGTTCCAGAGGCGGAGCCATTGCCTGTTCCAGAGGCGGAGCCATTGCCTGTTCCAGAGGCAGAGCCATTGCCTGTTCCAGAGGCAGAGCCATTGCCTGTTCCAGAGGCAGAGCCAATGCCTGTTCCAGAGCCGGAGGCAGAGCCAGTGCCCGTTCCAGAGCCGGAGGCAGAGCCAGTACCCGTTCCAGAGCCAGTGCCGTCTGCCTTCATGGACCTGGACTATCTGGAGCGTCTGGCTCGGATCCTGGACATGCCCGTGTCTGCTGTTCCAGAGCCGGAGCCAGTGTCTGCTGTTCCAGAGCCGGAGCCAGAGCCAGTGCCTGTTCCAGTGCCCGTTCCAGAGCCAGTGCCCGTTCCAGAGCCGGAGGCAGAGCCAGTGCCCGTTTCCGAGCCGGAGGCTGAGCCAGTGGAACAATCAGTGCCCGTTCCTGAGCCGGAGCCGGTGCTCGTTCCAGAGCCGGAGGCAGAGCCAGTGCCTGTTCCTGAGCCTGACCCAGTTTTTGTGTCTGTGTTTGTGTCTGTCTTTGTGACTGTGTTTGTTCTAGTGTCTGTTCCCGAGCCGGTGTCTGTTCCCGAGCCGGTGTCTGTTCCCGAGCCGGTGTCTGTTCCCGAGCCGGTGTCTGTTCCCGAGCCGGTGTCTGTTCCCGAGCCGGTGTCTGTTCCCGAGCCGGTGTCTGTTCCCGAGCCGGTGTCTGTTCCCGAGCCGGTGTCTGTTCCCGAGCCGGTGTCTGTTCCCGAGCCGGTGTCTGTTCCCGAGCCGGTGTCTGTTCCCGAGCCGGTGTCTGTTCCCGAGCCGGTGTCTGTTCCCGAGCCGGTGTCTGTTCCCGAGCCGGTGTCTGTTCCCGAGCCGGTGTCTGTTCCCGAGCCGGTGTCTGTTCCCGAGCCGGTGTCTGTTCCCGAGCCGGTGTCTGTTCCCGAGCCGGTGTCTGTTCCCGAGCCGGTGTCTGTTCCCGAGCCGGTGTCTGTTCCCGAGCCGGTGTCTGTTCCCGAGCCGGTGTCTGTTCCCGAGCCGGTGTCTGTTCCCGAGCCGGTGTCTGTTCCCGAGCCGGTGTCTGTTCCCGAGCCGGTGTCTGTTCCCGAGCCGGTGTCTGTTCCCGAGCCGGTGTCTGTTCCCGAGCCGGTGTCTGTTCCCGAGCCGGTGTCTGTTCCCGAGCCGGTGTCTGTTCCCGAGCCGGTGTCTGTTCCCGAGCCGGTGTCTGTTCCCGAGCCGGTGTCTGTTCCCGAGCCGGTGTCTGTTCCCGAGCCGGTGTCTGTTCCCGCTCCCGAGCCGGTGCCTGCTGCCGCTCCCGAGCCGGTGCCTGCTGCCGCTCCCGAGCCGGTGCCTGCTGCCGCTCCCGAGCCGGTGCCTGCTGCCGCTCCCGAGCCGGTGCCTGCTGCCGCTCCCGAGCCGGTGCCTGCTGCCGCTCCCGAGCCGGTGCCTGCTCCTGCTCCCGAGCCGGTGCCTGCTCCTGCTCCCGAGCCGGTGCCTGCTGCAGTTCCCGAGCCGGTGCCTGCTGCAGTTCCCGAGCCGGTGCCTGCTGCAGTTCCCGAGCCGGTGCCTGCTGCAGTTCCTGAGCCGGTGGTTGCTCCTGTTCCACCGCCCTGGCCGCCCGAGGGGTCGTCTCCGCCCTGGCCGCCCGAGGGGTCGTCTCCGCCCTGGCCGCCCGAGGGGTCCTCACCGCCCTGGCCGCCCGAGGGGTCTTCACCGCCCTGGCCGCCCGAGGGGTCTTCACCGCCCTGGCCGCCCGAGGGGTCTTCACCGCCCTGGCCGCCCGAAGGGTCTTCACCGCTCTGGCCGCCCGAAGGGTCTTCACCGCCCTGGCCGCCCGAAGGGTCTTCACCGCCCTGGCCATCTGGTGGACTGTTTGCTTCGCCCTGGTCGCCCGATGGACTCTCTGTTTCGCCCTGGTCCCCGGTTAAACCCTCACCCCCTGTTCCTGTTTCCCTTCATGGACCTGGCCCACCATCCCTCCCCCTGATTCTCCACCGTTCCACCTCCCTCCGGAAGTTTTGTGTTATCTTGTACTATGTCTTGGAGCGTCTGGTAGCCGCTCCGTAGAGGGGGGGTTATGTCACAGTGTCTGGTTGTGTTCCCTTGTTTGTCACTAGAGGTCCTCGTTATCACGGTGTCCTTCACTATTGACTTCATTTCCCAGCATTCTGTCTGTCACTGTCACTCATCAGTTCATTGCACTCAGCTGTTCCCCGTCATCATTGTTCCCAGCTGGTCATTGTTAGTCTTGTTAGATCTGTGTATATATTCCCTGTTTGTGTTAGTATGTGTA